GTGTGGTTAGAGGGGGATGGTATATTGGAGGCAGGCTGCAGAAGGCCCCATAAGCCTGGCTTATCCTAGGGGTGCAGGTATTCAGAAGTGTCTTAGCTCCTCTTACAGTTGAATCTCAAGTGCTTTAGTTTTCTTCTCCGACACTCTTCCCAAGCCCTTTTCTTGGTGAGTGCAGCCCTCGTGGCTGAGCTCAGTGTTGCTTGCTCTGGGCTATCATGTATGCCCTCACTTCCTTCTAGCTTGGAGAGGTGCCATCCTCCGCTGCAGCTCCCAGGTCTTACATGACAGCGCACAGGGCCCACGTCTTACCATCTTTACACCTTCCATGCTCGGTTCATGGCAGATGCTCAGGATGTGTTTGAGGAACGAATAACTTTCCTTCTGACGAAGGTCCCGCACTAGAAAAGCTTCTCAGTTGGGAGAGGCCTATTTTTAGAAGAAAACTTCCGTTTCATTTTTTAAGGCTAAGTTTTTAATTAGTACAAAAAGGTCACAGGGCACATCAGAACGAAAATGCCATTCTGTATAGTCAGTAATCCTAACCTAGTGAGACTGGATGTGGAGGAAAAAGATGGAGGCCTGTGTCCTGGGCTGTTAATGAGAAATTCTGACAGATCTGGTTTTTTTTTTTTTTTAAAACCTGGGATTCAAGTCTCTCTAGAGACCACTAAGGAAAGCTAGCCTGAGAATGAAACCAACCCAGAGGAAAACACAATCAAGAGACCGTATCATTTGAACACCTGGACTTTTCAGTTACTCAAGCCAATAAACTTTCTACCATAAGGTAGGTGGAGTAGGGTTTTTGTCACTTGAAAGTGTCTTGACAGAACTACTCACATAGCTGGGGTTGGAATTCTGACTGAGGCATCCCTAATGTCAAAGCTTTCTGAGCCTTCATTTCCTCACATGTACGATAAGGTTGATTTAGCCTGGATTTGTGTAATGTTCAGTCACTGCTCAGTAAAGTGATGCTAGTAGGGCTTGGATAACCAGTTCCTATTCCAAAAGTGTATGAGATAGAGAAGTGAATAAGAAACTAACAACACTCTTGTGCAACATCATGCTATCACCTCTTTTATTCTTTGTAGTAACACCACTAAGATTGAGACATTTCCACTAATGGAATATAATTTAGAGTAGGAGTCAACAAACTATTTCTGTGAAGAATCAGACAGCAAATATTTCGGGCTTTGTGGGCATATGGTCTTCACTGCAACTACTCACCTCTACCATTATAGCAGGTGTGTGTGGGGTTGTAGCCATCAACAATACGTAAATAATTGGGCAAGGCTATCTTCCGATGAAATTTTATTTATGGATGCTGAAAGTTGAATTTCACATAATTTTCATGTGCAGGAAGTATTTTTTTCCCCCTCCAGCAATTAAAAAATATAAAAATCATCCTTAATCCTTAGCTCATGGGTTGTGTAAAGAGGTAGCACAGGCTAGTTAGCCAACACACAGTTTAAAGTACACTGGGCTATGAGTTCTACCTAAAGGTCTCCCCTTGCATAATTCTGGACAAGTCACTTTTTCTTTTTGGGTTTGCTTTTCTCATCTGTTATGTGGGATGACCTGTAAGGCCTTTCAGCTCTCAGACATCATGATTCTGATTGTTCATTTAACAAATACTGAACATGGATTACATAGGGCATCGTTATAAATGCTGGCAACGTTAAGAGTGAATAAAAGATTCTGTTCACATGCACTCTAAGAGACAGAAGATAAATCTACGCATGATGCTGGGCAGTGGTGCTATTTAGAAAATAAGGGCAAAGGATTGGGGGCGACAGGGCTGTAACTTCAGAGACTGAGATGGCCCCTTGATCACTGACATTTGAGCAGAGATGTGAAATCAGATGAGGGAGTGGGCCCTGTGGCTATGTGGGGGAAAGAACACTCCAGGCAGAGAACAGTGCGAAGGCCTCGTGGTCAGAGTGTAGTTAGTAAGAGGCCATTGTGGTTGGATAGAGTGAGCAAAGGGGAGAACTGTAAGCTACACTGTCAGAGAGAAGTCAGGGCCAGGTCATTTGGGGCCTTGTGGGTATTTGGATTTTATTCTAGGTATGATGGAAAGCCACTGAGATTTGGAAAAGATCACTTTGACTACTATCTTCATAGTTTTGTGGTTCAAGCCTGCCAGCCACCCTGCATGAGAAAGATGAGGCAGTCTTTTCCTGTAAAGATTAATGGCCTTGGAAACCCAATGGGAAAGTTCTACTCTGTCCTGTAGGGTCGTTATGGGTCAAAGTCAACTCAGTGGCACTGGGTTTGTTTTTTTGCTTTGGGCTACTGTATGGAAATCTGGCTATAAAAACCAAACTCACTGCCGAGTCATTTCCGACTCACAGTGACCCCTCCTTGGGTTTTCGAGGTGGTATCTCTACAGAAGTAGATAAGGAGGCAACAGTGAAGGCAGGGAGATCATTCGGAGGGCAATGCAACAGTCTGGCAACTGATGGTAACTTGAACAAAAATGGTAGTGCTCGAAGTGAGGAGAAGCTGTTGGATTGAGGATGCATTTTGAAAACGCATCAAGGATGTTTTGAAGAGCTGCCCAGGAATGGGAGACAGAGAAATCCAGGAAAATATTAATGGGAAGAAATCACATTTTAACAACGTTAACGACTATACACAGCAAGTGTCTAACATTTAATTTAAAAGTCTAGAATTAATCCTGTTCTTATATAATAGTATAAAAAAACCACAGAAACATTCTCCTATTCAGAAATTAACTGTACATACCTTAACAAACAAGAGACAGGGCTTGAGAATTCCTGGTTTCATAAAACTTTTGCTGCTGATTTTTGACATGTTCTGAAAAATCTTTCCTCTTCCCCAATACTTAGATGCTAGTTACAAAAATCAACTAGTTAGGGTTACACTTCGCATTCGATAAAAGCTATTCTCTATTCTGAATATTTTTCACCCCTGTATAAATCAGAATTATAAATGACGTAATTTTAGCAAAATGACAAGAATAGTTTTACCTAAGGTACAGATAATGTCACAAAAAAGCACTGACCAGCACTTATATTTTACAAACCTTTCACCAGACTGCTTTTGGCAATATTTATGACACACACATTTATTCTTTGAAACCTCTACTTTGAAAGACAGAAATCAACATGGTACAGTACTTTGAGGGATTTCTATTAACAACTTCTCAAACAGTTCTATTTGCAACGGAAGAGCTAATCTCTTCACTTAACAAAAGTAGGCAGGCATAATGGGTGGAGAGAATTAGGACTGCCCCCGAGGCTGACACCAGCCAGGGAGCTCTGCTGCGTAGACAACCTAGAAGTAGTACCCTGTCCAGACCCGCCAGCCCCAGTCCAGAGTGGGAACATGTCTATCAGAGAGGTGCAGGTTTGATTCCAGTAAACCGACGAGAGAAGACACAACCACACAGACACTGTCTTGCATTTATTCACACAGAGGAATAAGAATTGGTACAAATAATAAACACTGCTTTAAATACAAATAAATAGATCTGGTTTCTAAAGGAAACAACTCTATATAATTCAAAGTTCTTTTTCCTAAACTCCTGTTAAAAATAGAAGACTATTTTGCATTAAGTAAATCCTACTCCACCATAACCCTTTGAGGACTTAAGGATAAAATGGTGAATTCTATACTCTGAGAAGTCACCAGGAAAATGGGAGATGGTGCTCTCACCTCCTTGAACTATTCCCCAAATGGAAGCAGAGATACTTACATTACACCAAAAACCAAACTGTCGAGTCGGATCCGATTCATAGCAACCCCTCCTCGGGTTTCTGAGGCAGTATCATTACGGAAGTAGATTGCCCAACCTCCCTCCCAGGAGTGGCCGGTGGGTTTGAACCGCCAGCCTTCTGGTTAGCAGTCAAATGCCTTAGGGACTATGCCACCAGAGCTCCTACTTACATTATAGACACAGCAAATAAATGCAGAAAGTGTTTGATATCTAACGATATCTTGGGAAAAGGGTAAAAATTTCTCTGAGCCAGTCTATGAATTCAGAAACTTCAATAAGCTGAAGTTTTGGTTCAAATATCTTAAACTCATTATGCTCATAGGAAGACTTAAGTTCCAAGAGTGAACATTTTCTCTTGCTAGGAATGACAGTAGTAAACAGTCCGTAATCACCAAGAATGGCAGCGGGAGTTATGATGATTTACCTGGTAAAGGACAATGGTGCTGCCCAATCGGTCTGTCGAACCTGGCACCAAAACTATGTTGGTTTATTTATCTCTCTGCATTGTTATGTTTAGAATGGTCAAGGTGGCAAAAAACATCTAGATAGAAGTATGTTCTCTGAAGGAACAGTCATTTTAAAGTCTTTTAAAGGACAGAAATCATGAGGTCATTACAATTTTGGTGTCTGAGTAGTGCCTGCTCCATTGAGTCTCTGTGCCAACTGCATGAATACCAATCCCCATCCCTCACAAGACAGTATAGCCTCAGACTCTACACAATTATTAGGAAGTAGTATGCTTGAGAGCTATTAATATAGCAACTTTTCCATTTTCAAAGAAATCTTTTCTACATAGATTGACCATGATACAATTCCAGATAGAACATTCTCGTGCTATAAAAAACAATCTCATGCAATAAGTGCAACTTTAAAAGTCCCACATTAATAACAACATTTGGTATTATAGAAAGGAGGATTATTTAGCTTAAAAAAAAAGATCACTATAGAATAAAAGTTTGATTTCCAAATGGAACTTCCATTGTGGTATAAAATGCTAAATCTGATTTGACAGCTTTGTCAATGCAACAATTTCAAGATACATATCATATTTTCCTAATTGGGATTTTGAAACAATAAGCATGATTGTTAAACAGATTACCATATCTGCTCAAAGAACCAGCTCCTTTTTGCCAAGAATGTTCTTTTTTTGGAGGGATTTCCATAGTAAATTCTGGAACAATAGTTCGGAACATGATTTAAAATTTGTCTCTCACTTCCCTCCCTGTCTCTCTTCCTTTATGTTCTAAAGACATTAGAGCACAGAAAAATGATCTATTTTTCTTTTTTTAAGAAACATATTAGTAAATTTAGTGTCTTAATTTAAATAATAACACTTTCTATGTTTTCTTTTCTCGCTGGCATACTATATAACCTTTCTGGGTTACAAAGCCAAACAAACCAGCCAACAAGAACATCCCAGTGTTCAAATCACAGTTTTGGATACAATCCTATTTATTCTGGATGGTGCTCAATTCCACACATACTTCAAGGAAGAAACATCCATAAGAAGATTAAAAAATGTTGTAACACCAAACTCTCACACGTGACTGTGCTCTGTTGGATTCACATCTACAAAGTACAAAGGCAGAGGATTTCAGGTGTGGAGATCAATTTGCTTTTGCTGCTACGGTAAGCAATTCATAACCATCATCTTCGAGATTTCCAAGCTGTTCTAGAATAAGGAGTAGTCCTTTTTTTATCTGACGGCTTAAAGTAGGAATAAACAGGTGCGGCTGGATACTCTGCATCAGGATTCTCGGCCATCATTTTCAACTTTGCTTCAATAGCTTTTATCTTTGCAGTGACGCTAGAAAAAGGACAGTGGAAGATCAGAGTGGCTCGGGCACATGGAGAAAATGCTTGCGTATTTCCACTCCCTTGTGTTTCTTATGCATATCAGAGAAGCAACTCAAACATGAATGTCCAAACGTTTTGTATAAAAGAGAAGACAGATAACTAATGCTCTCATTTTATAAAAGAGATAAAGTTTGAACCATCTACTAAGTTTTAACTATAAGCCTAGACACTGTTATGAGTACTTCATACATTGTTACATTTAATCCTCAGACATAAAACTGTTTAGCAGCTTAGTGCTTGTCTGTCAGACAGTAGGGTACTCAAAAATCATTCTTATAGGGTTGAAAACAACATTATATAGTAGGTAATTTTCCTCATTTTGCAGTTGAAGAAACTGAGGTACAGAAAGATTAAACGGCCCAATGTTACACAGCTAGTAAGTGGTAAAGCTGAGATCTGAATACAAGCTGACTCCCAGTTCCATGCTATCATCCATTACACCGCACTACCTTTTAAATCACTGAATAATAATGGGTGGAGGGGAGACATTCTGCAAATCCTATAAAGTCTCTTTTTACTAACAAATATGTTAACAAAGGCTATCATTTACAGAATGTGTACAACGAGCCAGGCACTATGCCCAGCATTTTACTTATATTGTTGGTAACCCCTGTAATAAGGGAGAAGTGTTCTAATCATCCATATTTTATAGATAAACAAATGCAAAGATGATGATTTACCCAAGGTCCACACAGCTAACAAGCTGCAGAGCCGGGATTCAATCCCAGTTTGTTCATCAGCCCTTGCTTTTTCCTCTCCATCAGGCTGGGAGCGGAGCAGCCCTTTCTTAGAGAGAAAGCGTGAAGAGTAACCGCAGAAGCTGTAAGAATTCCCTTCTGATCAGGGACACTGCTATCCCTGCGCCAGACTCCAAAGCACTCAAGCAGTGGGCTTTTCTGGCCCCTGTTCCCTTTATTTTTTGTTCTTGATGACTGTCAGTGGTCTACAGTCAGGGAAGAGAATGTATACGTGGTAAGGGAGTGTATACATGGCCTTTCAGAGACCCTCAGAGAAGGGATATATCTACTGAACATGTCCATAATTATACACAGCCAAGAAACTAGAAAACTAATTTATAATAAAAAGAACACTGAACTATTACTGACATGTATTCCATCATCTCTTCCATTTAATGGGGCAGCCATCCATTCTGTGGGTCACAATTAGGCATAGATGTTAATAGAAAAATGGAAGCTGAGGCTCTCTGGATTAAAAAATAAATAAAAGACACTAGACTACTTGGAAAACATCTATAATAAAAAACTAACCAAAACCAAACCCACTGCCTCAAGTTGATTCTGACCCCTAGTGACCCTATATCTCTAGGACAGAGGAGAAATGCCACAGAGGGTTTCCAAGGCTGTAAATCTTTATGGAAGCAGGCTACCCCATCTTTCTCCTACAGAGCAGCTGGTGTCTCTGTGGGTTTGAAACACCAGCCTTTTGGTTAGCAGCTCAATGCTTTAACTACAGTGCCACCAGAGCACCTTAATAAAAACTACAGACATGTTAATTATAACATGAAGACCAAGAAACATAAGTGCAACCATTACTTCCTGTTAGTTATAATATTTATGAAAACTTCATGGAGATTAATCTATGACCAAGGAAGTTCAAATCCTATGTGGAAAAAAGAACAGTGGCTATAAGGTCCCAGTGAATTCATGAAAGTCATTATAATTTTTCTTTTCTTTTTTTATTTCTGGGAGCACAAAACAACAGAGGCAGCACAAAGTTACGAAAAATCAAGGGCTTGTTGTTGTTGTTTGCCGTCGAGTTGCCCCTGACTCATAGCGACCCCTCCTTGGGTTTCCGAGGCAGTATCACTACAGAAGTAGGATTGCCCAACCTTTCTTCCGAGGACTGGCTGGTGGGTTTGAACCGCCAGCCTTCTGGTTAGCAGTCAAGTGCCTTAGGCACTATGCTACCAGAGCTCCTAAATCAAGGGCATTTAACTTAAATTAGTAACTACAAAATTAATTTCAATTGACCAGTTTTATCATTCCTGACTCACCTGAAAAGATTTTAGGACCACCTTTCCCTGCAGTTTCAAAAAGAAAAAAAAAAGACAGAAAACCAAATCCTTCGTGTAGTCAATTATGACTCATGGTGACCCGTGTGGTGCAGAGCACAACTGCCCCATGGGGTTTCCTTGGCTGTAACTTTAGGGAGCAGATCACCAGGCCTTTATCCCACTTCTCCCACAGTTCAGCTGGGTGGGTTCAAATGGTCAACCTTTAGGTCAGTAGTTGGGCACGAACCATTTGGGCCACCTAGGAACTAGCCTGTTTAAAGAGATGTTTATAAACCTCTTTTACTTTGCTGCACATAATATACAACAAAGGTACTTTTCTGGTCCTCCATCCAAATCGGCATCACCTTCCTGACTTTATCAGAGTGCTGCTTTCTGGCACTTGCGTGCCTCTGATGCTCCCTCACCTCCCTGGAACAGGCTTTAGAACAGCCTGGTGTTTCTTTGTAGTAGGAAGTAAAAGACGGAATTCTGAGGTCTAATAGACCTGGTTTTGAATCCCAATTCTTCTATTTGCATGATCTTGTGTAAGATAGTTTACCTCTGTAAGCTTTTGTTTCTGCATGTATAAAATGAACGTCACAGTATGTCCACTAGAATTATGAGAATCAAATGACATATTTCATATAAAGTGTTTAACACACTGCTGCCTCAGAGTATGTGCAATAAAGCCTAGCTAATAAGTCATTATTGATACTATTAAAATTTCTCCCCAGGCTACAATGAAAAAAATCTCTGCCTGTGCCCAATCATTTGCTGAACCTCTGTCTTTCTCTATCAAACCCTTAGTTCCTTCTGTTTTGAATTAACCCCCAAAAAACTGACAATCTGTCCATACAGGAACCAAACTGTTATAGTTGCCTAAGCGGTACACAGAATTAAGCTTCTGCAAACTAAAATTCTGCATAAGGGTAACTCCTAGTTGGGAAAGAATGAGTATATAATGACAAACACCAAAGAGACCCAAAGCCTTATTAAAATGCTTGATTTTAGGGTAAAGGTGTTTATTACCATTGTATTCCCAGTGCAAAGTACAATGCCTGGTACATCTAACATTTTCTGAATTCTGTAACAGAGTATATCATCTTGTGGAGGATAGGAGAAGAAATATGTATTATGTTCTGTAGAGTAACTGAACATACCTCTTAATATGTCAAAAGTTTGCAGATTTTCTTCTGAATTCAGAGTGTGAAGAATTACTGGGACATGAATGAAGACTCGGAATAAAGAAATGACTCAAGCTCTACAATAACTGTGTGTGTCTCCCTACAGAACTCCACCTTACCTTAGGTTAGACTGAGCGGGCTCGGTGCTGGATGATGGCTCAAGGCTGATCGGAAGGATCTTATCATTTTTGTTATGATCGTATCTCTGAAGGGAAGAAAAAGGGAAATGACGTCACCCGAGCAAAACCAAGCTCTGTACTGTCGTCCCACACAGGTTCAGCAGCACCGACCCCACCAGGGCATCATCAGCATATTTCTACACAATTTTAGGACTGTTCTGCATTGTGAATTAATGTAAAACTCCACATAGCCTTGGCCTAAAAGTTGTTAAGTGTGGAAAAAAAGTTGAGAAGTTTCTCATGTAGCCCTTGGTCTTCCTTATTTGGTAGGGAAAGAATTTCAACTTCCGAACTTATAGATGGTACAGGTACACAGCGGGATTAACCTCTTATATTCTTATTTTCATCGTCACATATCACTTCTTATGATATTCGTTTTATTTTAAATGCTTTCAAATTCTGCTAGATTTTGCAAAGTACCAAGCATAATATTCAACTCTTAACAGGCAAGAATGGAAAAGAAAAGACAGTACCAACTTCTAGCCACTGATCTAGAAAAATTTCACAGTAAATGAGTAATTTAATTTGATGTCTGATAATTACATACTTTTTGTAAAAAGTTAATATAAAAGAGTGATCAGAAGCCTCTGATCCAAGGAAACTTGTAGGAGAAGAGAATTGTGCACCCAGAGAGTCTCAAATGAAAGACGGGAACGAAGGATGGCTCCCTTCTGTGCCCTTTCAATGAGATGCAGAATGAGAAAATGACAGCCAGTCTGGCAAATGAGACTTGATTTTCTTTTAAGCAAAGAAGTATTTGGAAATTCTCCTTGTTGTTTCTATTTTTAAGGTAATATATCCTAGAAATTGAGAAGGCTCTGTCATTACCTGAAATACTCATAAGAATCCACAGTGCCTGAGCTTTGTTTTTCAGGTTGGACACTTAGCTCAAATGTCTGACTAACTTCTGTGACTCACTCTTTATTGGGAAGTTTGTTGGGTAAGGAGTAGAATCTCTGATTAAATACCATGCTCACACAGCTAAAGACTGAAGGTTCAACTTTTTACTGTCACACATCTTTTCACAGGTGGCTTTGTCAAGACCCCACTGCAGAAAGAAGAGAATCAACTCTTAGCATAGCTCTGTCTCATACACTTCACTACCTCCATGCTAGCTGCAATAGCAGGTGATGCCTCCCTTAAAAAAAAAAAAAAAAAAAAAACTGTCTCCACATTTCTAGTGCATTCTCCCAAGGGACTAGCTACAGGATGAGCAAGAGAGTTTGCCACTTTTCAGGGCTTGGAGACAATATAGGCAGTGCCAAGTCCTACCAACCCACGCCCTAACAACTCTCAAACTGGACTAAGGAGATGCCAGTGCTTTAACACTCATACAAAACACCCATTTCTCAAGCATTTAGAATAAACACATTCAAACTCTCCACAGAGTGAGGAGGCTGAAAAAAGTCTAATAATGCCTAAAGCAACTAATTTAAAAAATACATTTTTTTCCCTCCAAAGAACAACCCCCACTAAAAAAATGATAGAGGTCTGAGTATACACATCAGCCACATGGAAAACTCAATCAAAAGCAGGATCTGCGGGCATGTGGAAAGAAACAACGAAGGAACTTAATCCCTCCTGAGATGTTTCTCAGAAGAAAAATCTGGCAACACACATGGTAAAATCAAAGTATGACTGTTCCAGATGTGAAGAGGCCAGGACACAGATGGGCAAGTGGACAGCTGTCTCTCAGGAAACCCACTCGGGATGAGGCTTGGTGCTGTTGCTCCAGCCTTGTTCACGTACCTTTACTTGCGCATGAGCCCATCGCACCACCAGCTTCTTAGATAAAGCCAACTTGCCATTGAGACACTGGATGGCTTGTTCCGCTTCCTGTCCAGGAGAGGGGACTAATGTTAGTTAACGCTCAAATACCTAACTAAGTGTGGCTATTCTCATAGGGTTTCACTACCTTTGATGGTTGAGTTTCTAACCAAACTGTTTTTGGTAAATAACTGGGAAAGGGTTTACAATAAAAAAGTCAGAATGACAAAAAGGGTATGTGCTTTCTGAAGTCAATCAAACGAGAATTCAAATCCTGGCTGTCTCTTGCTGGCAGCATGATGTTTGGCAAGTTACTTAATCTCTCTGAATATTACAACTTTTTTCACCTGTAAAATACAAGTAATACCACTTGTTGGTTGTTGTGAGAATTCAAAAAGAACCCACTGGTTGTTGTGAAGATTCAAAGAGCACATAAAAAGAGTGGATGGTGAGGACCTAAGAAATGTTAGCTTATATTATCATTCTTATTAGGTGATTCCTTTCTACATGTTTCTGCTAGTGAGGGTAGCATCTACTACGTCAAGTGATATACTCTCCTCAGGGGCCCTGGAACTATATCCTAGACTAGGGCTTACTCCCTGGGTCCAAAGTGAGAAACAGTAATGGCTTAAAAGGATATGGGAGTGAGGAAGAACAGGCAGGAAAAAGGAGTGAGTCAAAGAGACTAAGAAGAAGGTATCTGTGTGAGTCAATCTAACATCTGGTTTTTAGAAACAAAAGTTCTCTAACTCTTCCTTCATCAGATATAGGAGCAACAAGGTTGAAAAGAATTCCTGAACATGGATAATAGGAACTCTAAGTCATTCTCAGGAAATCTGGCTGTACTTTCCTATCCTGCCAAATCTTCTATGCCCCATTTATGTCCACAAGGCATTCAGCCATGTTCACTGGGAGTGAAGAAGTCCTGTAGGAACAGAAGAGAGAAGTCCTAGAGGGCAGGGGCAGTCTAGGTGAGGCTGGAATGCCATACCAGCAGGTGGTCCTATCTGGTTCTGCCGCTGATTCTTCTATTACTTTAGAGCTTGCCAGCATGATATCCAACAAATATTTACTGAGTACCCCTCACATGTCAGGCACTGGACAGACACTGGCACTCTTGCCTCATGATAACACAGAAAGGTAGAGGGATGTATGAGAGACATTCTATTCATTTAAGTTTCATTTGGTGAATCAGAACGTCCATGGAACTCTCTATTAATTCTGTAGCATCAGCAGTAATCAGATGCCAGCAGGGGATAAATGTTTCAAAGTTCATTTTCTGATGAAAACTGAGGTCAAAAGAGGGTAAGAGATTTATCCAAATTTAATAAATAAAAAAGGCAGAAATAAAAGCTAAGCTTTGTGATTTACAGTCCAGTGTTTTTAAACTAACATCCATCTCCAACATGACCACTGCTTTTAGTTGTCCTCAAGAATCCTCATCACACTGTATCATTAGGGAAAAATGTTTACAAATGCTAATCCTATAAGAGAATTCTTTCCGTTTCCTTGAAAAACCTTGAACAACTAGAGTAATAATGTATCACTTACTGTTTTAACATTTACAAAAATGAGAGGGAATAAAAACACCTAGCACTGATAGACAGTTGATGCTCTCAAACAATCTCAGGATATACTGGTACATCATTTCTGGAAGGTAACTGGTAACTGTATTAACAAGAAATATGCACAGTCTTTGACCACACCATTCCACTGCCATAAATGTAGTGATAAGCACAGAGTTACAGCTACAGAGATATTCACCACTGTGCTGTTTACACTAGGGAATCATTGGAGACAATCTAAATAGCTAACAATTGGGAATTAGCCAAATAACTTATTGTCTACTTACACAATGAAATACTACGCTATGATCAAAAATGAAGCTGATTACTTTGAGGTCTAAGCTATGTATAATAAAACACACAAATAGTAAGGATACAGAAAAATGAGTTGTTACATAAATGGAAACCAGAGTATCATGTTACCCAATGTTATCTTGATGAGTATTAGAAGACAGAGAAAAATTTAACATATATGAATGACAAAACATGATACTCATTGCTGTTCAGTCAATTCTGACTCATAGTGAGTGACCCTATAGAACAGAGTAGAACTGCCTCCTTCACAGGGTTTCCAAAGCTGTAATCTTTATAGAAGCAGATAGCCATGGCTTTCTCTCATGGAGTGAGTGGCTGCTGAGTTTGAAATGCCAACTTTTAGTTAGTAGCTGAGCACTTAACCACTATGCCATGAGGCCTCTTAGATAAAACATGATTTTAAAAAAACCAAAAAACCAAACTCACTGCCTTGAATTGATTCAACTTATAGTGACCCCTCCTTGGGTTTCTGAGGCAGTATCACTACAGAAGTAGATTGCCCAATCTTCCTTCCGAGGAGTGGATGGTGGGTTTGAACCGCCAGCCTTCTGGTTAGCAGTCAAGTGCCTTAGGCACTACGCCACCAGAGCTCCTAGAGCTCTCATAGTATGATCTTATTTTTAGTATGATGTCACAAACTCTTCATGTGTGGTGCGTGTGGGTGAATCTGAATGGCACTGGAAAGCTATACAACTAAATACAAACAGCAATTATTTCTGGGTATTGAGCTGATAAATGACTTAAATTTTCTTCTCCTTTGGTATTTATATTTTTATCTATAATAAATGCATGACTTTTATAATAAAAGCATTCAAATAAAAATTATTGCTAACAATGAAAATAAGTAAAAACTAACTACACAATGTTCTTACCAATGACTGATGAAGTTAGAGAGTACTAAGCAGTAGCTCTACATTACATTCAAATTTCATTTCTTTAGCACGGCACAGCCATACCAAGGCCTGTAACATCAATGTAAGACGACACATGTATATTGCCACTGTTGAAGCTAAATGCTCTCTTCCTCTACATACATTCAAATCTGTACACATTTGCTCTGAGGCACTGAGAAGGGGACATTTTTAAGAAATCAAAATAAAATAGAGTTTGTGGGTGGTTCACCACAGACAGTGCTTCCGCACCACAGGGAAGAACTACTAAAAGAAAAGGAGGTTTTGTTGGCCAGCCACTAAAGGAACAAACAAAACAGAACAGGGAGGAGGATGTCCATGTACTTAATATGGGCGTCCCAAAGCATCTGATCAGAAAAGTAGGTCAGCGACTTAGCCTTCGAGCCTAGGGAGGTACATTTTGAAAGATAATCAATATTCAACAATCTGGTTACTGAGGACGTACTTTAGCACTCACTCAGTGCTAGGCATACGGAGACCAGACACAGCTCCTGCCCACAAGGAACTGATACTCTAGTAAAGACAGATGCACAAACTACTATGATATAATTGGGTAAGTACTATGAAAAGGGGGAAGAAGCTCAATTACCTGTTTAGTTTCAAAGTTAACAAAACAGTAACCCCGAGGTTGTCCCTCCAAAGCACCTGACTTGTGGAAGAGGAAGTCAAACTGCTTTACTTTGCCAAATTTCTGGAGGAGCTTGAGGAGGTGGTATCTGTGGAAAAAGAAGAGCCACGAGAGCATTATGGGAATATTCTTGGTTACTTAGCCTGCAGTGGCAAGATGAAAGCAAGGAATAATCTATTCCAGGGATAAAATCTCATGCTTACCCCACCGCCCCTTCCTCCAAACTGTTGTGTCAGTTTATTTGGCAAACAGAGTTGTTTGCCTCTATTTGGAATGGGACCTGGAATTGTCATGGCTCTGTGTCTGTCTAACACAAAAATACCCAACCCAAAACCAAACCTAATAAACAGCCGTCTGGCCCACAAGCATCATTTGTTTTTCTTTTGGAGAAAAGCTCAAAAATAGTGTCAAATTTATTTAATTTCTTGGCAATGCAATAATATTTATGAATAAATAGCTATAACTCCAGCAGAAACACACATTCACACTCCAAAAGCCAAAGCCTACCCTACCTTAAAAAGAAACAAAGTAACAAATACACACATAGCCATCCAAACAAACAGCACAACCAACACTGGCAGACTTCCCTATTAGATTTTAAAGCTGATCAGTATACCCAAATTGCACTTGTGAGAAATTCTGCCAAAAGCCAAACCACAGCAGTGGCACTTCTGTAACTGCTCGAGTGTCAATCCCTGACATGAATGGAAATTAGGACAATGTGGAACCCCAACGTGAGTGAGGCTGGTCTCACACAGGGGAAGGGAACCTGGCCAGTTCCTATAAATTATCCCAAATTCACAGCCATCAAGTAGATTTTGACTCATAGTGACCCCCCACTGGGTTTCCAAGGCTATAAATCTACACGAAACAGATTGCTCCATCTTTCTTCTCAGAGCAGCTGGTGGGTTCGAACTACTGACCTTTTTGGTTAGCAGCCAAATACCTTAACCACTATACCACCAAAGCTCTTATAAATTATCCAGCTGTGGGTAATTAGCCAACTCCAGTTGCCTTGATACAGTTATATGCTGGGGGATGGTCAAATAAAGAATGTAGATGGGCAAGGAAGATGTTCACCCCAAAATCTTGCTTGCCACTCTACCCCGTATCCTCTTCTTAGATTCCTTACTCTCAAACTTACTTGGTTTCTATAGAGCTTTTCAGTTATTCAAACAGATGTGGCCTTAACAGGTTGCTGTGGCCAATCTCAATTCCGACTTCCTGTCATCTGATGTAAGGGTGAGACAAACCAACAGCTCTCCCGTTTCCTTTTCCTTTGGCCTTCCTCCTGGCATCCTCTGTGCTATTCAAATGGAGTCAAGGCTTTCTCTAAACAATGCTGTCCCTGTGATACTAAAAAGGTATCAGCCCACATGCTAAATCTGTTATTACTGGGAATTCTACCCCACAGGGAGTCGGTAAAGTTGTCGTTACAGCCACATTTATATTCACATTGTTTTCTAAGAGAAACTCATCCAGATTTGATTTTTGAGTGAGAATCTCCTTTGGGAGGCAAAAAGATATGAAATGCATCATAAGTTATAATGAATTTGATACTAATGCACATCAACAAGCAAGCCCATTATCCTCGATCAGGTGTCTGACACCAGTGGAGCAAGGAAGACATAATGCAGGTCTAGTACTGGGGCAGGACACAGGATCCTAAGGCATACTGTGGATATTAATCTGGTCTTTGGACCTGTTTTGAAAGCGAAAACAAATGTGACCCCTACTTTTGAAATTGTCAGCTCCCATCAGGAGACCATGACTGCTAGTAAGAGTGTGGGAGCTGTCTGTGTTCAGGGAAAAGGGGGACAGAGGAAGTGAAAATTTCTGGCTTTACTGGATTTTTTGACGAGGCCTACAGTAAGGTCTCTCTCCAACACACACACAGAGGGGCTAGAATAGTCTCTCCTCCAGGTTCTTTAATTCACAGCTGCACCTTCCACTTACAGCACTCATTCAAACCGTAACACAGAGCCAACTGCCACAGAACGGTGGGTCAAAATCATTTTGTGTTTTTTTCCTTAAAAAACAAAAACAACAACAATCTTAAGGGCTTCTGTGGGCTGGTCATCTTTTCATTAGCTCCATTCTGCTTAATAGCAGGAAGGTAAGGAGATTGGCATTTCCTAGGAAATGAGTTTTAATTCACTCAGAAAAAAAACAGGCCGACAGATTATTCTTTGAAAAGCTAACAAACACATTCTGCCTAAGAAGTGCGACCTTAAAATTCCAGGAACATCTGCTTCGGTCTGTGTCTTTCAACTTCTCCAGGATTTCTTTTCTTGTTTGATAATTTCTCGAAATTATCGGAACACCGAAACAAAAGGAATGAAATGTTTACTATTTTGCTTCCTGGAGATGGGGACTGTAAACTCTGATAGTGAAACCAGTCTGAAGGCTCTTGCTTTCACATCTGCAAGCACTTTTATCTGCTGCTGGAGTATGGGAGAGCTCACCACTCATCAGAGGCTTGCTGCACTAATGAAATGTGGAGCCCATAGCCTCTGGGAGGTAGAGAATTCACAACACTAGTCCCATACATATTTCTGCAACTTAATCAGTACTTACTGTAATGGGTCTTTAAAATAGCTAAGAAATAAATTACTCATGTTGTTGTTATGTGCCATTGAGTTGGATGCAACTCATAGTGACCCCTCCTTGGGTTTCCGAGGCAGTATCACTACGGAAGTAGATTGCCCAACCTTCCTTCCGAGGTATGGCTGGTGGGTTTGAACCACCAACCTTCTGGTTAGCAGTCAAGTGCCGTAGGTACTACGCTACCAGAGCTCTTAATTTACTCATAGAAAGGTTAAAAGAGACACCTCCTGTGTGTCAAGAACTATACAGTTGGCACATGGACTATCCAGATGAATAAAACTACAAGGACCCTGCCTTCAAAGAGCTCACATTTTAATTAGGAGAGAAGTGTAATCAATTACAAATTGATTACCAATTACACATAGAGGCATGCACATGAGCACATAGATGGAAGAGGTCTAATTGTGTAGGAAGCCAGTGGTTGGGGAAGGCTTTGTGAAAGAATAGCTGAGCAGAGTATGTCAGTGTGAGAGAACATCGTGCGAAGACATAAAGGTGAAAAAGGGATTGATTCACTGGATGAGTGGGGGGAAGGTAGTAAGAGATGAGGCTGAACAGGCAGGCAAGGAAGAAGTTATGAAGGATATTTTGTGCTTAGTTAGGAAATTTTAGTTGGAGATGTAGACAATAGGAAACCAATAAAATGACTGTTGTTGTTGTTATGTGCTGTCGAGTCAGACCTGACTCATAGCGACCCCTCCTTGGGTTTCTGAGGCAGTATCACTACAGAAGTTGATTGCCCAACCCTCCTTCCGAGGAGCGGCAGTGGATTTGAACCACCAGCCTTCTGGTTAGCAGTCAAGTGCCTTAGGCACTACGCTACCAGAGCTCCAAAATGACATTTAAGATTACTTATTTTTAGTGCACAGTTTGTTTTAGGGAAAATTTTCTTTATAATACATAGAAATTATGAGGTGGGTCTTATGTTCTATGCTGCTGGGTATTATATATTTTATTAAATGGTCTGTGTTTAAAATTTAAGCAAAGGCTGCTTAAGTAAAAATTTAAGCAAAGGCTGTTTCATACAAACCGCAGTATAAAATCAGCATGTATAACAAAAGAAAGATAAGGGCTGAGAGAAACAGAATTTCTTCAGAAGTTAATGGACTGTTCTCGCACGCTCACACACTTATTCTCACTTGCATTCTTGATCATCTATCTCTGCAAACGTCCATAAGAAGGGCATTTTCGCCTGGACGGCTCCTCACTGTCAAAGCTTCACTGACCTCCTCCCCACCACAAACTAGTGCTCCCTTCTATCTACACCGCTGGTCAGGGGAGGCAGGATTCTTCTAAGTTTCTCAGGCAAGAATATTAGGATCACCTTCTTCTCTTTCTTCAATCTCTATGTCTTATATCATTATCTCTCAGACTCACACCGTGATCTTCAAGTTCACTGTTTCCATCCAGGTTACACTGATGGCAGGTCTGCTTTATGGCAGTCTCTCCTAGCTAATTTTCATTTTTCAGTCCCTGTCCCTCCAACTCGTCTTACACACTGATGGCTAATTTTCCCACTAAAACATCACTTTCATGTCAATCTCCTGTTCAATACCCATAATGAATCTCTTCTACGTGAAATGTGAACTTGTCTGAATAATTTTTAAAGACCAACCTTGTCTTAATCTGATAGTATTTTATCCACCCAATCACTCTTTTCACTCTTCCTCTAGTTAGAGGAGTCTTCCTAATATTCTGATCACTTATAATAATATTTCTTATTCTTACTTTTGTACCTTCATTTATGATTCTCCCTCCACTTAGAATGTTCCTTCTATTAGAATTTCTACAGGCTTTGTTCTCTCTTATTTATCTGTTTTTCTTCGCTTCAAGTCTGATTTGCTCCCAGAAAACTACAAGCAAAAGATCTTAGTCTTTCTAGGCTTACCAGTCTAATAGAGACTGGTGAAACTCCAGTGACTATGGCCCCTAGTCACCTTTCAGGCCTGGAACTGAACTCACTTCTGTGGCTTCCAGCTAAACAGTAGACAGGCATATAGGTAGAGCATTTATACCAGGTAGGTATACTCCTTAGAACAATCAACGATGGGAGATCAGAAGGGCAGTATTTGCACAGGGAGAGAGCTCAGAGGGCAGGAATGCATAGGAAAGAAGGACAGGGAAAAGGTAACCACAGGAAGGAAGTGGGAAGAGAGTTGTTACATTGTGGGGATTGCAGTCAATGTCATGAAACAAAATGTGTAGCAACTGCTGTATGGAAAATGAAAGTGCTCTGTAAACTTTCACCTACATCACAGTTAAAAAAAAAAAAAAGATGACAGTCTTAGAAAAATCTTGATAGTCATTAATCCATCTTTGTCTTCTAGATGAAGTAACTGAAGCCAGGAAAAGTAAAAGGATTTGTTCAGCTTATATTCTGAGTTAATAGCAATGAAATGTTATTTCTTCTGCTCAATATAAGTGTTCCAACTATTCTGACCCATTACAACTCCCCCCCCCCTTTTTTTCCCTGTTGTTCTT